CCTTCCTTCCTTCCTTCCTTCCTTCCTTCCTTCCTTCCTTCCTTCCTCCTTCCCTCCCTCCCTCCCTCCCTTCCTTTCTTTCTTTTCTTCTTTCCTTTCATTTTTGGTTTTCATTTTTTTCGTTTTTGTTTTGTTCTGAGACAGGATTTCTCTGTGTAGTACTTGCTGTCCTGAAACTTCCTCTGCAGAACAGGCTGGCCTTGAACTCAGAGTTTATTCTGCCTCTGCTTCCTAAATGCTGGGGTTAAAGGTGTGTGTGCCACTACTGCCTGACTTGCCTTGGTTAGATTTGTTTCTTTTAATTTTAATTTATTTATTTTTAGAACCCCTATAGCCAAAGTTTACTTCAAACTCCATAAATAGCTGATGACCTTGAACTTCTGACCCTTGGGACTCTACTTTCCTCCCCACTCCTCTTTTTTATCCAAAGGACACTTTACTCTTTACTCAAATTAGCAAGCCATTGCCGTCCCTGTTCTCACTTCCTCCTTTATGTAAGGCTTCTTCTGTAGCCCAGACTGGCCTGGAACACCCAAAGTAGTCCAGGATGACCCTGAATTCCTTCTCTGTCTTCATCCGAAGCCTGTGTTCTGGGCTTACAAGAAGGGACCACTACAGGCAGCTTTTCCTGGTCTACTAACTGTCTCCTTTTAGGTTGGTAATGTGAGACAAGGCCGCTTGAAGTCCAGGCCAGTTTTGAACTTGCTCTGTACCCCACGATAGCCTTAAATCTACACTCCTTCTGCCTCTGGCTACAGAGCAGCTGGGATAGCAAACAGGCCTGTACCCCCAGCCCCCTGCTCTATTCCCCCAGCCCAGCCCCCACCTGCCCACACTGATATCTGTAGTAGATTACAATGTCTGGAGAATTCTTCCAAGTATTTGTTTTTATCGACAAAACGTTTTTGGTTTGTTTTTTGTTTTGTTTTAAAGCAGTCACACCGTTGTTTGGGTGAGGTTAAGAAACTCCTCACTGTCCCCAGACTTTTCTCCAAAAACAAGAGAGGAGCAAGGGGCGTGTCAC